GTATCCAGGGAGTTTCTCTATCCTGCCACAGGTCTTCATACGGCAATTAGCGCTCTGTAGATAGAGTTTGGCCTGGTGAAGCAGAAAAGCTTATCTGCTTATCTGCTCCACGGGACCGTTAAGCCGTTGAGCCGGCGTTGCTCTGCACCAACTGGTCCGATCGGGGTGTATGATGGCTTGAATGATAGCTGTGAGCCGTGCCACCACAGTGCGGCAGAGGTATGCGTGGTTCAGTTATGTGACGGGAGGTATTCCGGGACAGTTGACACACACCCCCCCCCAAAAATGCTGCTGAACCCCCTCCGTTGACCATATCTCTGCGGGAACATATATGATGGGCGTGACCCCTAGCTTGGGAAAAATTGTATGGACCGTGCGGACACGACGAAAAAGGTTTGAGGCCAATGGGAGCTGTTTGGACGGAGGTTGGAGACGATATCTGCTTCCTGACATGCTGCGGATCTCCCCTTTTTCAGCAAGTCTCTGCAGCCACCGGTCGGATTTAGCTCCCAAACAGCATGAAAAAAACTGTAGTCCATAGCTACACGATGCAATTCGTTTGAGGTCGATTGGAGCTGGGGAATGCGTGTAATAATACATTTAAACTGGTCTACATGTAGAGCTTTCTCTTTGTTCCTTCGTTCAATATGATCGGTCACATCGATCCTTTACGGCATGGTGTGATCGTGTGAGTTAGAGGAATGAGTTCGACCTGTCGTCACCATCGTGACCGACAGGCGGTGGAGCACAAGGGTAACTGTCGGTGAACGGATTGAGGGTAGGTGATGGCTGAGGGCCAATAACACGTTCGAATCTCATGTCGATAAGACTGATCGATCGGTGGACTGATACACAAGTGCTTCCACTCTCGTGTTGATGACTAATCACCTCTAAATGCTGTGTCTGACATGAAATTACAAGTGCTACGTGTAGATCTAATACCTGCGGCACTCGGAAAGAAGATATTTGAAGATAATGTAGACTGGAAGCTTCGATATCATTGGCGAATAGTCTATCAGTGACTTCGAAGTATTCGAAATTAACCCGAAGTTGTACAGTCATGGATGGAAATCATATGTCAATCCCATGAAACCTCATCGACGGAAGAGTAGATGGAGTGCAACAGATCCCATGTAGTGTAGAGGAAATGCACGCGTGGTGCAATCTGGGAGACCCGTGAAGACGAACTCACTTGTTATCAACTCGTGTGGAACAGCGGTGGCTGTTGCCAAGGGAAGGTAGAGGACTGACTAGGATGGGGCCAGGGTCAGCTGCTAAAGCAGGGGCTACTAGATCCTGTCCCCTGTTCTTTCCTTCCGTGGGGAGTTTCATCTCCCGCACTTTTCTCTGGGCATTAACCCGCACTACCGTTTGTACTTTCCTACACATTCGAATCCCATAACGCTAGCCCACCCTGGAGGTTCTCACACGCCGATACTAAATCTCGGAACTTGACAATTACTTGTCAAATCCCAAATGAACGTATCGAGGATGCGGAGCTCCAAACTTTCACAATTTGCCCTCCCACACCTCTCACTCGATGGGTCGCAAGACCATCGTTGACCTAGAATAAGAAGGCACAGAAAGTAATAAACTGGGGATAACAGATAGGAAACCAACAGGAGAGCCGCAACTGGCGAAGGCTACAAATACCGTAACAGGCCAGAACCCAAAAGAAAAGGGAAAAGAGGACATGAAAGAAACGAACAATACAAGCGTCGCCGGAGCGACGAAAAAGGAACGGTGAAAGGAAAGGCCTGTATCGACAAAACGATCAGATACGCCAAATAATCACCACGGTAGCGTGGGAGCGACAACAAATTTCACGAAACACCTTTAGCCCGCAAGCTCTGAGAAGTAGAGGAAAATAAAATACACGAAAAAGTACAAGAGCATCACAACGTACCAAAAAGGCCGGAAACCAAACGTTTCGGAAGCGAAACCAAGAAGAAGAGGGGTCGTGACACTAAACAAAAGCTGGCAAAACCTCGGCAGGGAATAGAAAAAGCTCAAACTGGCGGACTATTGAACAAAAGAAAGAAAACGAGAAAACGAAAACAAATAGTCTAATGCTATTGCAAGAGCAACAGAAGCCAAAAACAACCAAGCATGCCATTTTAATGTGGGCGCGCGATGTCATCAGACAACGAAGCGGTCACAACGTCGCCACGCGACATGTCGATGTTGCGGAGAACACCCTTGAATAGAGCGCTGCCGCTGTGTACTTGGAAGCACCAGGATCCGGAGACGGCGGTTTCGACGGTAGAGTAGCGAACATCGGGAAGGGCGAGCTTGACAGATCCAGGATCGTCCAAGAAGCGGACGACGTAGAAGTCGGACGGCAGAGGTGGTCCAGAAATCTTGCCCAACCACCAGAGTCCATCTTGTGTCTTGTACCAGAAGAAGGCGCCCACTGGTAGAGGGGTGTTGGCGAAGCGACGGTCCCATGTTGAACGGGACAAGCGAGTAGCCCGAAGGCAAAGCTCGCGCACCTTGAGCACGCGCCAATTCCCTGGTAGCGGCTCCAATGCGCATCGCACGATAACGGCGATTTGTTTGGCGATCTTGGTCAGGCGAACCTGCCCAGTACCGGAGAATGTGCGGCTTGGAATGCTGCAGGTCCATCTCACGCTCCCAAGAAGGGCGCAGAAGGCCCTGCCAGTGTGTCTGATATAAAACAGCTATCGTGCCCCCACGACCACGGACGGACTGGTGGCCACTAATGCGTTCAACCTCTAAATGTTCAACCGGAGTTGACACGTCGTCTTCCGTAACATGGTAGGGAGGAAATTTGTTCGCACAAGAGTTCAGGACATACGGAGTAAGACCAGCAGGCAGAAAGCGCGGCAGGTCATCGGTGTCCTGCGAGTTGGCGCAAGGCTTACAACTCCCAACCGAAACACGAGATTTCGAGTCTTGGCCCAGCAGGTCCGAAGGAAGATCCAAGTAAAGCAACTTGGAAGCCAAAGGACGACCGTCAGGGCTGTCAGAACATGGGCCGACAGCCAAGATTTTGAAGGGGCCAGTCCAGAGTAGAGATAACTTGGCTTTGAGAACCTTATCATCTGTGCCTGAACGAACGCCTTGTCGAACAGTAGATTCTGAGTTATACACCCAAACCCATCCACCAACAGTGTAAGAAGGAAGCTTATGGAAGGCGTCCGATAGGGTGGAATTACGCCGCTCAATCCGCGAAACGGACAGGCTATGCTGTTCACACACCAAGTCGTAAGAACGACATTGGCGATCAGCAGCAAGATCGCAATATTCGAGTTGATCACGATGCAAGCTTTGGTGGCCACGAGCGTAAGGATGCTCAAGAACAGTCATCGGTAAACGAGGCAATCGATTCATATGCACCTCATTGGGCGCTAAACCGGTAGCGGCGCTAACGGAATTGTTGTAAGCAAACGCGACGTGTAGGAAATGAATGTCCCAATCATGTTGTCGTTCGTTGACAACCATAGTCAACATTTGAGCCATAGTGTGGTTGACGCGCTCCACTCCCCCATTTCCATTGCGATGGTACGAGCTAGTAGCCACTTTGCGGATAGCAAGACGGGCATACACGGCTTGGGACACGTTAGAGCAAAACTGAGAGCCGTTGTCAGACTAAAGGCTCAACGGGCAACCCCACAAAGGGATATACCTGTCGACAAGGATGTCAGCTGTGCCTTCGGTGGTGAATTCTGCAGCCGTAACCGCGTACATATCAGCACGGCGGCTGAAGAGGTCTGTAAAGAGCAGAATGTATGTGTTGCCACGCGGTGTCAACGGAAGTGGACCAAAATAGTCAACACTCACCGACACACCAGGGCCCGAAGGCAAAGGAAGGGACATGGTAGGCCACCGAGGAGTCTGACGAGACGATTTACGGGCTAGGCATTGCAAACAATGCCGCACCAACAATGCCGCACCCACCATTTCGTACAAACACTCATGCCAATCCACCAATCGAAACGTTCTAGCATGCTAAGCGTGCGAGCCGCACCGAGGTTACAGGACGCATCAGCGTGGCAGACTTGCATGATCCACGGACGCATGAGCATGGGAACATAAATCCGAATGGGTTCATCGTTAAGAAGGCGAGCAGCACGTCCGCCAGGACGTGTGGTCGTGGACGACGGGGTCGCTGTTTGCTTGCGAACAAGCAAGGCCAAACCATCATCGTCAACATACAGCCAGCCTTTGTTAGACAGGTCACGAGTCTCCGAAAGAGAGGGTCGACGAGCGGACGGAACACGGTCCAAGAAATCCGGAGGGAGGATCGAAGGCCGACCCAGAAGGATGAAACGAATGGCTGCATCACACACAGGTTCGTTACGTTGCTCGCGAGCCCAATCAGCATGCGAGAAACGTTCGACGGACGCCCGGAAGGCTAAATCCGCCGAAGAATGTAAAGCCGCCTCGATAGAAGAGGGGGCTGATTCGCGAGGCGCCGACTGCAACCCATCCGAGGATAGAGGAGCAATGGAGGCCGAAGGCGAATGCGCGCGAGCGGTTGACACCAAACGCGACAAAGACTCCGAAGAGCCGGGGTCTGCAGGACGCTTCAAAGCAGGAACAACCGCAGTTGTGGTAGGCGTCGGAGACACAGGCTCCACTCCATGAGCCAGAGGCGCGGAGGGAGTCGAGGATGAACCACCAGCACCAGTAGTCCAAACCCAACTGGGCAAGGCTGGTGTCATCGACGGCGNGACTCCGAAGAGCCGGGGTCTGCAGGAGGCTGCAAAGCAGGAACAACCGCAGTTGTGGTAGGCGTCGGAGACGCAGGCTCCACTCCATGAGCCAGAGGCGCGGAGGGAGTCGAGGATGAACCACCAGCACCAGAAGTCGAAACCCAACTGGGCAAGGCTGGTGTCATCGACGGCGCCTTCGTCGCCGTCGGAGACCGCCGAAACGATCGAGAGGGAGCGGAAATCCGCGTGGGAAACAAAGAAGGCTCATCGCCAGAAAAACCATATTCAACAGGCGGAAGTGGCGTGCCTGCCACAGCTGCCTTGCGACGGCGAGTCCTGGTGGAGATCACTTGGGTGGGGTCGAGGATCCGACGTGGGTTCCCGAGAGCGGGAACGGCAGACGGAGGCTCGGGCTCGAGAGCCAAAACATCATCGAAAGACTGAGGTAGGGAACCGGACCAGACGATGGGAGGTCGATTGCGCAATCGCGACCGCGCCGAACGGCAGAACATCTCGGATGGCAAGGGAGTGATCTTGGGCGACAAGGAAGCGACGTTCCAAATGCCCGATGAAGACGATGGGCCTGGTGACGGTAGACGCGGACCGTGCCGACGGAAATCAGCGAAGTCAGCCGTACAGGGGGCAAGCCCACCCAAGACCGAAGTCGGGGAATGAGGAACTAGCCCACCCAAGTCCATACCCGCGGCCCGATCACCGGAAGGAGTAAGGCCACACGAACGGATGAAAAACACCGCCTCTTCATCCTCAGCCGGGGTCAGACGGCTGCGACCCGAACGGCCGCATTCAGCCGCAGCGACTGGGAGGCGTGAGAGGAATCAGCGTTGCCATTTGCGGAACCCTTGCGATACTCGAGAGTGAAATGGTAGGCGGTAAGAAATTCCAGCCAGCGCTGAACGCGGGCATTGTTCTCCCCCACCGTAGCAAATGCTCGAGAGATTTGTGGTCGGTGAAAATGCGAATTTTGTACCCCACAAGTAGCCGCGAAGGCGCTTGATACACCACACGATGCTACCCGCTTCGAGATCGAGGGGAGTCCAGTGGCTTTCTGAGTCCAAAGTAGCCCGACTGATGAAGACAATTGGGCGAATGGAACCATCTGGCTGTTCTTGTTCGAGAGTCCCACCAAACCCATCGCGACTAGCATCACAGTAAAGATAAAAAGGTCGCGAGCCGTCTGAAACAGCATCCCAATCTGGATAAACCAAAACAGGGGGATTGGCCAACTCAGCTAACAAATCGCGAACGGCTTGCTCCATGGATGGGGTGAAGATAAACTTCTCCTGCTTCTTGAGTAGAGTAGTCAGAGGTCGAATGCGTTTAGCCATGTTGGGGGGGAACTTACGGTAGTAGCTGAGACCACCGAGAAGGGAACGCAGTTGCTTGACATCCCTGGGCATAGGCATTTTGGTGAGGGCCGAAACCTTGGCACCGATAGGCCTAACGCCGTCAGGGGAGATGGTGTGTCCGAGGAAGTCTGCTTCAGTTGCGCCAATAGTAGCTTTCGGAGGCGTGAGTTTCAAGTTGTGCGTACGCAAGCGTTCAAAGAGTGCGCGCATGGTACCAACATGAGTAGGGGGTGTCATCAAAGACGATCAAATCATCCAAGTACGATGCAACACCTTGGAGATTTTTGATGACTTCGTTGACAACTTTGCGAAACCACCCAGGGGCAGCCGAACTGCCTTGAGGCATCTTCAACCACTCGAAAAGCCCGGAAGACGTCACGAATGCCGTTAAAGGGGTTGTATCGCGGTGCACCGTGATTTGGTGAAAAGAAGATTTCATGTCGAAAAGGGAATAAGTTCGCCCTTTCAACAACTTGTCCAAAGTATCATCGACTCGAGGAATCGGAAGCTGACTCAAAGCACAAAGCTTGTTGAGCCTACGATAAATTACGGTGATGTGAACACCACCAGATTTCCTCGGTATGACTACCAAAGGGCTCGAGTAAGGCGAGGTCGAATGTTGGATCAAACCTGCCGCAAGATATTGGTCAAGGATGGCGTCAACTTGTTTCGCCACCGGGGGACGCGATAGGGGCGAGACGTGACGGGTGCGCCGCCAGGAGGAACTGTAAGCTGAAAAGGAAAAGCGAACAAGATCCAAAGTCGGTCGGAGAACTCGAAAACACATAATGGTATTCGCACAAAACGTTGCCAAGCTGCGTAATGACATCGGGAGTCCAACCCGGGCCGTGGAGATCAAATGTAATCTCACGGAGATGGCAGGGGAGCTTATCCTAGACTTAGGAGAAACTTTGACGCTGTTCTGGCGTCAACCGCTCGAGAAGAGCAGGCGGAGGCGACGAAGAGGGAGAACTGGCGGAACCAAAGTCCCCTCGGTCGCTTGGCGACGGGATGGGTCGCTCGTGTAAATTATACACGAAGGGGTCAGAGATGGAGTGCGTGGCAGACGAATCAATGCCTCCCGCAGAATCAGGACCAGGGACCCAGCTGTCTGAAGCAGCGTGGGTTCTGAAGCCGCAGTTTCAAGACCATCACTCAAACTGTGGCGAGAAACAGCGCTAAGAGGCACGCGAAGAAGGGGAGCCAAAGCTGTACCCAGGACGTCGCCGGGTTCGAGAGACGAGATGCCCGCAAGAGGGATACGTTGGCAACCATTTTGCACAAAATGTTCTTCGGAAGAAAACATAGCACATTGGGGGCGCGTATCCACCAAATAGTTACCCACAAGGGCAGGCGAACCACCATTGCGTACCAAATTGACCTGAATGAGGCTATGCTCTGGGTGAAGTTGAACGAAATGTTTGCCTGCATAGCGAAGTTGGTAACTTCCATCTGTTGCGGACAGATCGTGAGCAAATGCAGTGGCACCACAAGTGCCATGTTGGGCTAAAGTAAGCTCACCAAAGACGGTCACTAAACCGCATCCAACTATCTCTGCCGAGGAGCACGTCATGATGCGTGACGCCGTCAGGAACAACGTATGCCCAAACAGCAAGAGAGGAAGTAGGAAGGTTCTTACGGAGAAACTGAACACTCAAACGGACAATCGTCGAAGTTTCGAGCGGGGCAGATTTCCCAAAACCACCCCAACTGCGAGGTTGGGTGTGTTTTCAGACAACGTCGAAGCAGCCGAAGCCGCTTTCATGGATTCCCATGCAGAAGCACTGATAAAAGACTGTGGAGAACCCGTATCCAAAAGAGCGATACACCCAAACTGCACAGAGGCCGAACCGCTGTGGAGGAGGAATCTTGTGGTGAAAGAGTCGTCATCGATGGTGACAACACCACCAACCAAATCCGGACCTTGCTCTGGGAGCGAGGAGGAGGACGACAGGATGCATTCTGAAGACACGGCTCAAACGGCGGTGTCGTGATCCGACGGGACATTCGGAGTGTATTGCGAAAATGACGCGAACCGGTCGGTCGATGGAGGGCACGAAGCCGTCCGAAGGCGCTGGTGTGTGGAAGGGTTAACTTCATACACCGCAGAATGAAGGAACGACGTCGTAACGTGGTCGGTCGGAGGCAGCAAACGAAAGCTGCGCTCGGGAGGCGGGGCACGGTGTCGTAAAAGACTGCGTACCTTCTGTAGGGCGGTGCCTAACAGGTTGAGGCCGCGCCATCTAGATGTGCATCCAGCGTCAGGATGATAGACCTGGAGGCCAATGCCCCAAACACGGTCGTAAGGACTGGCTTCGGCAAGGATTTTGCCACCAGATCCGAGGAGATGATTTCGTAACTCGGAATTTTGACTAAATTTTGTGTAACAGCCGGTGAGCACAATGTTTTCGCGTTCTTGTTCCCATAGAGATTGGTCGAAACCACGGACCTCACGGCCAAACTTTATGTGTAAGGCCGGGTCTGACACTCGCATGATGTTCTGCAAAGCACAGCGATCTCTGAAAAGACGGGCTTTTTCTGCAGCGAAAAATTGTTCGGCACACGAGTAAACAACGCCATCGACCGTGAAGGTCGACGGTGTCCATTGGGAAAAAGGCGAGGGCGGCTTCCAAAAGAAAACCATGTCTGGAGTACAATACTCGGTAGACGGGTCGAAAACGGCCGAGGCAACAGAGGCCGGAGCGCCCTGAGTGCTGTTAGACGAAGCTGGAGTCGCAGCCGAAGATGCGGAGTCATGACGGTATGCACATCCATGGGGGTGGGCCTTGTAACAGCGGGAACCGACGAAGAATCGACTTGAGTCGGATTCGTAATTGGGGCAGCAACACTGGGCTGGGTGCACCCCAATTCTAAACCTGAAGAAACGCCTCGTAAGGTGTTCGGCAACAGGTCGCTTTCGCTGGGAACGGCTGCCAAAGCCGGGTTAGTTGAAGAACTGAACCGAGCATGGCGCTCCTGGCTATTCCCCCGTGACAAGGGACGCGAGACCGCCGGCTGTTCGGAGGTCACTTCGGGAGCGTCCTCCCGAAGCGGTGGTGTCAACACTGTCGACGTCGGTCGCAGCAGCCTTGAAGTGGGTGCCGTTCTACGAGCGTGCGTTGGAGAAGGTGGGGCTTGTAAAGACGACCCACGGTCGAAATGTCGCGTGGCGGAATCTGAGGATGTCCGGTGGTCGGAACCAGGGGGACAAGGCGATTCGAAGCCAGACGAATTTGACCCTAAAACTTGCCGGTCGGAACCAGTCAAGTTAGCTATCGGTGCAACAGTCGAAGGCGGACCTTCAACGGAAGCGAGCATAGACGAATTGAGCGTATCCGAAGAAGCACCTGAGGCAATCAATTTGGGCGATTCTTCATCAATCGTCCAAAGGTCATGGCTACTGCCGATCCTATCTGCAGACGACGGGGGGAGCGAACGAGAGGTGCTCGACGAACGAGGAGAACTCTTTGGCCCCGAAGGTCCAACGGGTCTGTTCCCGCACCTCAAGACAGCACTTACGTGAGACTGATTAGTTTCCGACGAAGCAGCAATCCGACGAGGCGAGGGTGCAGAGGTCGCAGACGATACGTGCGATGGCGAAGGTGGGATTTGAGCATTTGGCTGAATACCGACCTGATCGACACTTGAAGAAACAGCGTGTATCCGAGTACCGCTGTCATTGGATGGCACCGAAGTGCGAGAGCGCGTATGGAGAACATTTACCGAAGTATTGTTGTGGTTGCTTAGGACCGAAGTGCTAGAGGCAACAGAGCGCGTAGGGAGAACATTTACCAAGTATTGTTGTCGTTGCTTAAGACCGGAGTGCTAGAGGCAACAGAGCGCGTAGGGAGAACATGTACCGTAGTACTGCTGTCGGTGCCTAAGACCGAAGTGCTAGAGGCTACTGAGGATGATACACGCGCGTCTTGTTGTGAGCGAGACGAAGTTCCCAAAGATGCTGGAGGCGGTCCGAGGGAAGGAGGCGAACCACCGTCGGGGAGTCATCCGATACGCGAACGGCCGCCATTGTGGAAGTTGCCAGGCTGGCGTGCGTTGTGATTGGTCGAAACCATGACGCCAGACGAGGGACCAATTTGAGCATGCGATTGGGGTTGATAGACGGACAGAGCACCAGGGTGGTGGGTGCTTGTGTATGATGATGGTTACCCGCGGAATGTCCCGAGGTTTGACCACCGTGGTGTGATTGTTGGTGGTGATTGTGAGAGGAACTACCACCGTCGGAACGGCGAGGCCCAGCGTGGTGTCTACGCTGAGAGGAGGAGGAAGAAGACTGCCGATGGCGTCTACCCTGATTGTTGTTGCGTCCATCTGAACCCTTACGCCTGAAGGATCGCATGCGACCTTGCCAACGCCTAAATGCAGCAGAGTCGTCATTGAGGTGACCCAACTGGGGATTCAACAACCCACTAGAATTCGTGAAGGGAGAAGCACATTGCTTCATGGAATGGTCATCACCCGAGCAGTTCAGACAGCGGTTTCTGTTTTCGCGGAAGGCTTGCGAACGAGCCTCTTGTGTCAACAAAGGAGTCCATAAAAAAGGATCATCGGTGTTACGAAAATTGGCGGTGAGGGCGTATACATCAGACCAGTCGGCTTGCGAAGCAGGCCACGAGTTGTAGTTGTGCGTAAAAGGATCCGTGGCTTGAGGTTGCACGGGCAAAACTACAGGGTTCTGTGCGGAGTCGGATGCCCACTGGCCCGAACACGCAAGGGCGCGGTGGTAAGACCGCCGAGGCTGCAGAGAGCCACGGGTCGAAGTCAACGAAAAATAACATGAACCACCGATAGCCGGGGTTTTATTTGTCGCCAAAGGCGCGAACGCCTCCCACATAACCGCAATCGACTCAAAGGGAGTGACCGCAGTGGCCAAAACACCGGGTACAAAAGCGGAGACAGACTCGGAAATTGCTTGTCGACCGATTTTCGCACTATTTCGAGAACGATGGATACACCAGGGGCCAAAGTACTCTCAGAGCCAGTCACGGACGAAACTAATAAACGGAAAGCCCGAAGATAATCCGCGAAAGGAGTACCATCTGCTACGCCAAATTGTTGCAAACAACTCTTGGCGGTCTCCGACGTCAAATTGCTCCGCCAGGTTACGCAACAATAGCTGGAAAGCGTCTGGTCCAGGGGCTCCTCCATCCAAGCTCCGTTTCACTTGCTGAAAGAAATCAGTAACGGCAAGGACGAGATCGGCGGTAGAGGGCTTGTCGGGGGTGATCGCACTCAAAAGTTTTTTTTCGAGAGGACGTTCCCATCCACGCACAAAATCGGCGCCTGTCACCCCTTCACTCTGCTCATCACACAACAGCAAAATATCCGACAAAGCCGTTCTTGTTGTGCGAATAAGCTGCTGATAGCCATCTCCCGGCAACAGAGTAGCGGGGAAGGGCATGGTAGCGACATTCTCAACTTTTTTCAAGTTGAGGGTGATGTACGCTCGTTGAACGTTAGCTACATGAGCATTACGAGCAGCTGCATCAGTCGCATCGATCGATGCTTGACGAGTGTGTGCTGTGTCAGAAGAAAGTGGTAAAGCACGATCATCGGAGGCAGCGGGGGGTGCGGCGACGGCTACCGAAGCAGCTGTGGGGGCATGGTTGGTCTGAAGACAACATGCTACGCAAAACACCCGGCACTGGTGGATCGAATGCCGAAGGGGGGTTGAGGTTCGAAAACCCAGGGTTCTGCATCATTCGTAGATCTACAGCATGGCGAGCGGTAGAAAGGCTACGGGGTGCAGAGGTTTCCAAAGAAACAGGGGTGGTCGAAACCGGGGGTGAGTTGGAAAACTCAAAGCTACGTACATGTCCGGGGTCTACAGCATTGAATGCGGCAGAACGGACAGAAGGTGCAAAGGGTTCCGAAGAAACAGGGGCGGTCGAAACCGAGGCTGAGTTCGAAAACTCAACTCGACGTACATGTCCGGGGTCTACAGCATTGAATGCGGCAAAACGGACGGAAGGTGCAAAGGGTTCCGAAGAAACAGGGGAACCTAAAGGCGGGTGAAGGTCCGAAAACGCAACACGACGCAAACGCCCTGAGTCCGAGGAAAGAGGGGGGGCCGAAACCGTACCAACAACCGAAGTCGAGGGGGGGGCCGAAGCCTGTGAGAAAGCATCATCATGTAAAAGAAAACGATCACTCAAAGTCGCACCCTTAAGGGACGGGACTAGTTGCCTGGAAGAAGGACCCTTCCGATCGCCGTGCTTCCGGGTGAGACTCCGGTCTGAACCAGGGCCCGACCCGCCTCCCTTGCCACGAGTCCCGCTCGTGTGGCGCTTGGCCTACTGTCGTGCTCGGCCATTGCCCGCCAATGAAGATGGCTCCGGGGGGGGGCGAGAGGCTCCCGCGGAACTCCAGCCCGAGTCCTCGCCCGAGCTACTCTTTCGCAAGATGGGCTGGACCGGCTTGGCCTTGACGCGGCCGGCCTTGGGCTGCTGGAGCGCCGGAGATGCCGGAGTCGCCACGGCGCAGCCGGGCCACACCACCGGAGACGTTGCGTTCATGGTGGCCGCCCGCATCGCCACGAGGAGGCAGCTCACCACATCGTGGAGGTCGGGCCGAGACCCGTTGGCCGCATCAGCGGCGCCCTGTATTGAGGCAGCCGACGGCAGGTAGCGAAATAGCAGGTTACAGTCGAGGCTGCAGCAGTAACCGAGGTTACAGCTAGAAACGCCGAAGCAGCAACTAGCATTGTGGTTGGTTGTCGAAACAACAGGTAAGGAAACCGCGGTGCGAGCACGATGGGCAGTCGCAACTGCTGTCACAGGCGTGAGCCGAAGCTACAGCACATGTCCAGTGGGGTGGGTGACCGAAGTCATACAATAAGCCAAACACAGCCGGTTAGTGCCGTTTGCGAGCAGTCGAAACTGCAGACACAGACGGTGTGAGCCGAAGCTACATCACGTGTCCGGGTTGGGTGACCGAAGTCATACCATAAGCCAAGCACAGCCAGTTAGTGCCGTTTGCGAGCAGTCGAAACGGCAGACACAGACGGTGTGAGCCGAAGCTACATCACGTGTCCGGGTTGGGTGACCGAAGTCATACCATAAGCCAAGCACAGCCAGTTAGTGCCGTTTGCGAGCAGTCGAAACGGCAGACACAGACGGTGTGAGCCGAAGCTACATCACGTGTCCGGGTTGGGTGACCGAAGTCATACCATAAGCCAAGCACAGCCAGTTAGTGCCGTTTGCGAGCAGTCGAAACGGCAGACACAGACGGTGTGAGCCGAAGCTACATCACGTGTCCGGGTTGGGTGACCGAAGTCATACCATAAGCCAAGCACAGCCAGTTAGTGCCGTTTGCGAGCAGTCGAAACGGCAGACACAGACGGTGTGAGCCGAAGCTACATCACGTGTCCGGGTTGGGTGACCGAAGTCATAAACAACCGGTTAGTTTCGACTACTCCTGATGTTTACATGCATATGATGTGGTTACATGCTTACGACAAATGTAGAAGAAATACCATGGGATACACCACCCGCTCAATAATTTGGTCCAAAAACGGAATTTGTTGGGGAGGGAAAGAAAACGAATACCCACACAGCCAGCAGCAGAGCTATACGGTGCTCACCCCGGAAGGTGAGTGCGGCGACAAGCGATACTGCTACTTGCATGATCGACGGAGCGTCAACGCCAAGTTTCGCCCAACAAACGCGGGGGAAAAAGAAAACGCTGCAAGTAGATGTACAAATAATTAAAGCATCAAACGCCACGAAGGCGAGAAAAAGAAAAAAAAAGCCGAAGCTGAGAAGCGAGCCAAGCTCAACAGTCGAAGCTGTCAAATAAACCGAACCTGGCAAAAGAGTCGAAGCTCAAAAGCCAAGCTACTGCTGTAGCATACGAGCCGAAGCTCAAACGACGGCAGCGGCTACAGCGGAGAGCCGGGGGTCAACAACTGTTGGTGTGTCTGGAACCGAAGTTCCCTTACGAGACAGATGTGTGCAAAGGTAGAATCGAGTAGAGACACGCTGAGGCGAACCTCTCTTGCCGGCATGCAGCACGAAGCTCAGACGGGCGGGCCGAGGTCATGAGAGGGTCAGCCACTCGAGTGCTACAGGCGGGAAGAGGGCATATACAACCATCATGGCCGGGAGCGTAAAAAATGCAAGGCAGCAACAAAATGCAGTTAAGTAGGCGAAACTACAGAAATAGGTGCATCACAATCAAGGGAAGCAGCCACGGCAGTCGAAACTACAGGAGCAGATGCAACGGGTGCAGTCGAAACCACTGAGAAGGTTGCATTGGAAGCGGTCGGAACCGCAAACGCAGTCGAAACCACCGGAACAGATGCATGTGAAGCAGTCAAATCTAAAGACACTGATGCCACTAAACGGATGCACCACGGTCAAGAGCGGCGGCTTCTGTGCGACTGCTACGCGACGAAACAGGAGGAACGGCCGGCACAGTGTAATCGAGATGCAGTGTGCGGCCAACAATAGAGCCATGAGGCAAGTGTGGCACTACAGAGCCAGTATTGCCAAAGCCAATGTCTGCCCGAAGAGCAGAAGGCTCAACGGCGGTGGAGGTGAGGGGAAAAGTGGAATCAGCAACATGTGGTTCCGGCGGGAAAACTTGGGACACCCACCAGCGGCTGTAAAAACAGAAGTTAGCGTCAGTAAAAGCCGTGGAGGCGAACTCCTCCCGTCGGCGTTGAGCGCGAAGCTCTGACAAACGGGTGGCTTCTACGATGGGGTCAGCAGCACTCGCACCATCCGAAGACGGCACCAGCGACGATTGGGATTCGTCGGCTGTCGGCCCGAAAGCCGAGGCACTGTGTGGAGACACCAGCGAGCGAGAACACTCTGAGGGCTCTGGACTGGCCGAAGCCGAGTCCGAGGAACCAACGCTAAGTTGAGACATACCGATCAGTGAGGCAAAGCCAAGTTGTGTGGAGACGAAAGCGAAGAAAGCTGCGTGCAGCAGGCTCGAGTCGCCTAAACACAACCCCAGAAAGCACGCTGTACGTATACTAAGTATGCCGACAACGCCAAGTGTAGAGGAAATGCACGCGCGGTGCAATCTGGGAGACCCGTGAAGACGAACTCACTTGTTATTAACTCGTGTGGAACAGCGGTAGCTGTTGCCAAGGGAAGGTAGAGGACTGACTAGGATGGGGCCAGGATCAGCTGCTAAAGCAGGGGCTACTAGATCCTGTCCCCTGTTCTGTCCTTCCGTGGGGAAATGCATCTCCCGCACTTTTCTCTGGGCAATAGCCCGCACTACCGCTTGTACTTTTCTACACATTCGAATCCCATAACAGCGGTAGACAATGCCCGTTGTACAACCCACCAATATCCACAGTCAGTTTCGGAGCTCAATGGGTGTACCATGGCAGTCCATTGAATGTTCCACGTGCGTGTTTCCGGCATGTACAAGAGAGTTTTTGGTCTGAAACTCTTCATAACTGATACGTCTTTACCTCTGGGGGCGCTGCCGGTTACCGTTTGCAAATTCAGGGATGCCCGCTTGTTTCATGGCAGCCTCTCATTTGAGTGCAGCTGTTGTGGTGCTTGTTGATGCGTGCGCGCAATCCCTTCTTTGGCGCATTCACAATAGCAGACCTGGGATTGCTTCAAATCTCTGTAGAAGACTACCATCTGTACTATTGGTCCGTAAGCTGATGCTCGGTACGACATTCTCTCCTTCCCGCAACGTAACATGCCAAGGCTATGTACGCCACAGAGGACACATCACGCCCAAAGCACCTCCCCTAGCCACTCTTTCATGCGTTCCCGCTCGCTAGCTTCTAGAATACCCGCTTCTGACCTCTCTACTCCGCCAGCAACTGGCGGTGACCGCGACCGGCGAAACATTCTGCCAGCCAGTGTCTTCGCGAACACGCTCCCTCCGAAGGCGAGCGCTACCTTCGGCCTCCTTCCCGTGGCGAGGGTCTCGCTCGAAAGCGCTAGTATGGGTAGCGCGAGCGACGAGGACGACGCGTCTTCGGCAACTGCTGCTGGTGGATTCGTTGGTGACGTCGAGCGTTCCATGGCACCAGCGCTAGCGTGAGGACAGCCCTCTGATGCCAGCGGGCCGGCATCGTCTTCGAGGAGATCAAATGCGTGCACCACCCCGAGAAAATCAAGAGCGAAAAACACCGCCGGTCGATGCTCCGACCAAGCCAAAGATGAAATCGCGGCTGGCCAACTGCTACTGCTACTGCCATTTCTTCTGCTGTCAGCGGCGGCGGTTGACCCTGCTTCCCACGTCGTAAGCGGAACGACAGAGGCGTCCTGCAGTTTTCCGGTTGTTGACGGGGACCGATCGGTGGGTTTGGGTTTAGAGCCTCGTTAATGTCGGAGGGAACACTTGCCTCGGAAAATGCGTCCATTCTCTCACGCAGTGTCGAAAGGATACGATCAAGAGCAAACTTGCTTCAACAATACGTGTGGTGACGAGCTCATGAGATTCACCCACCTGGAGGTGCTTGATCCATACCACACAAATCGAAGGAGATTGTGGTGGTCAACCGAAACGTGCAGACACCTCAACGCGAGAAAAGATTGACAAGCGCCGAGGGTTGAACAGTTGAAGCACGTACCACATCAAGTGCAGCTGCTCACGTTATACAATCGCACGCTTCCGTCTCCGCATCCGGCCAAAAAGTACTTTGGGAAAAAGGGGCTGAAGGCCAAGCAAGTCACTCCGCCCATCGCCCCCTCCTGTTCCTCTCCCGCACCTCCGCCGCTCCCATCCAGGCGACGTTCTCCTGGCCGCCGCGGGGGCCCGTACGCCCGTGGCGGAGGCGGCTTTCCAAGGCGGGAGGCATGTATGACCCGGTCCGAAGAGTCTCCGATGAGGAATCGGTTCGGGTCCTCAGGTGAAAACGCCAGAGCTCTGGCCGACCCGGCAGCAGCCGAGGATGCGGTAGTGTCAGTGATCTTGTCCAGCCTGTTTCTTGTTGAGGTTGAAAAGCGAGGGGTCGACACAGGTACTGCACCGCCGCCGCCTCCCGCACGCACTGCGGCCGCCAGAAAGGGTTGATCACCCGGACGTAACGCCTTGGAGATGGCGAGGCGTACTCGCCCTCCCGGGCTGAGGCCCAGGTCAGTCTATGGTAGAGACGGTGGGCGCGTTGGCGGAGCGGGGCCTTGGTCTTGCAGGATTTTCGATGTCAAAGCCTACATGTGACAGTATGACGACCAACTTGACCGCCGGTTCCATGCTGAGAGCCGGTTTAATTTCATGGAAAGTGAGCTGGAGGAGGTAGGCGCCCCCGTTTCCGAACTAAAACGGAAAACAGGTTTCGTCCGTAAGCCTCTGAATTGCCACTGGTAACACCCCGGTGACGACAGGAAATAAACGTGAACGGTGCATATTTTTCCTTGGCTCTAAGCAACGGCCTGAAGGAGCTAGCTGATGAGAACCGCAAGACAATAAGAGACGGTTTGCTCGGGAGAACGCAAGGCTGTCTTCAACAACTGCTGCTCCGGGCTCGCAAAGAGGTCATCGCGTCCACGTCGCTCCGTCCGCATCGGGTGGCTTGTCAAAAGCTTCCGGATCACGCTGCCATACTGGGAAATTTCTGAACCACGATCAAGATTTTCGAAGCTCCTAGCTTGCCTACCTGGGACCCTCCCTCGTCTCCGCTCGGGACCTCGCTTGCAAGCCAGATGAACACCGTCCCTCTGTCATCCAGCGAAGCAACCTGGAAAGAGCAGGCGTCCCCGAGGGAAATCATGCCTCCTATCCCGCCGCCGCCACCGTCCATCCCTACTCCTCCTGTCGGGGAGGGGATGGCAACGACGGACACGATCTTGGACGAGTGTCCGTATCCGGCTTCCGATAGTGCTCGGTCCTCGCCCCTACTATCGCCGCCCGCGGTAATGTAGGTGGGCGCACGGATGCCGCAGTGTAGCCCTAGTTGTCGAGACTCCTGTGATGTCGTCGTCGGATGGGGTCGAACGCAACGGGTGCGGCGCCGTGCAGTAAGTACGTGCCCACGCTGTCTCGGTTCCTAGCCGACACGCTTCGTCTCAAACGAGCATGCGCCCCGGAACCACCCAGACAGAACAATCAATTACGAAACGCGCACCTAAAGCCCTCACGATACTTGTTGCCGTCTTAGTTTACCTCTTGGAACAAAGGGTTCGTGGTGCAACTTACCGCCCCGCGACCTTCCGACGACGGCTCTCTAAGATCCCACAGCAGCAAGCACCCCTCTTCGGTTCCTGTGATCACGACGTGCGCCTGGTGCCGCGCCAGGCACAGGCAGGAGAACAGGCCCTCCCCACAAAGAACACTCACGGGGGGGCCCTTTGGTGGATGTCGACGAGTTTGGTTCAGGGGAAGGCTTTGGGTTTGTGGCCTCGGGTTGTAGAATATGCTGTAGAATGTGCTATAGAATGATCAAAATTTCGTGGACAAGAGTTTAGATTGCATCTTTTGTCGGTGCTGGTATTCAAGAAGGGCATCACGCTCGTGACGAGCGACGTGCCGAGTACCGCGACTGAAAGTGACCTTTTTGCCACGCGCGTGCCGCACGTGTCCGACGAAAACTACATAGGGAGCCCTCGTGAACGCACTAGAGGACAGCTGCGAACGCTGGGATTGTGTAGGGATTGGAGCTTGCAGTGAGGTTCGTCGCCCAAAGGTTGGCCTTGACGGCTTCCCGACCAAAAAGGCATGCAGCGACAAGTACGAAGGCATATTCACCGGCGTTCACCAAAAGACAACACAGCACGGAACTATTATCTGCAGGGAATACCCATCCGTACGAGATGGACGTTCCTAGGCTGTACTACTGTATCCTCTCAAGCCTCTCGACTCCTGGCGCAGTACCTTGAACAACAAGGAACCCGACGTTACCATGATGCAGTGGAAATAGCTTGGGCAGAAAAGCGCGGATACGAGCATCGTAAGCCGTACTTGAGAACAGGCAAAGCTCGACCCCCAGAAGGCTTCGACGCACACACCACAGTGCTTCGGGCCTGCCGTAGTACTACCTGCCTGACCGACAATAATTGGACGTTCCTCCCCCCGCTTTGAAGGAGTTCCATGTTCATAGGGAATTCCCAACGTTATATTTGCGTGCTGAAAATGCGAGTGCCTCCAGTTGGTTCATTGATCCGTTGCATTGCCTTATCGTCCTACCCTCACCTGGACATTGTCGGTGTTCCAGACACAAACCACCCCGCAGCCCTCCAACACAGCCTCTCGTTCATCCGCCCCCCCACCACCACCACCGCCGCCACCGGCTTCTGATCGTCTCCACCGCCCTACCGGCCTCGCGTGCGCGGTGACGAGCATCGACCGTTTCACCTTGCTGAACTCCACACCGACAACCTCGGACCCCTCGAGAAGTGCCCTCGCCCCACGCCCTCCGACCCTATCCTCATCACCCCTTTGCCTTCGCTTTTCCTCCGCCGTGGAAGATCCAGTGTAATCCGTAGCTGCAGCAGTCGCACCGCCGGCACCAGCGCCGAACACTCCTCCTTCTGCGCCGACCTCTTCCCACCCCTCTCCCTCTCGGCCGCCCGCTCCCGAGAACAGCGCGCCCCGTTCACGACCGACTGCGTCCTCGTCTTCGCCTCTTGCCGGGTCTAGGGGATGGCTTCCCCCCCACCGCTTCCCGGGCGCGTGGAGCAGGTTCTCCTCGCACAGGGTCTCCATGACAACGCTGGCTTGCCGCAAGAACTTTCCGAGTCGAAGAGGTGGCGGAAGAGTGTCTGATCCTCCTGCGGAGGACACCCTCCCACCGCTGCCGTCGAAATCGGTCCCGTGCCGTGATGCCGGGTATTCTTGCTCGCCGGGATCGGTGCCGGCTACCATTCCGTTGCCGTTGTAGATCCCCTTGAAGGTCGTTGTCGCCGACCCCGGCTCGTTAGCTGGAACGTGTTCGCCACCGTCCGCCACCGTCCGCTGCTGTGTTTGGCCCCCTTCTTCGCCTTTGGCTTGATGTCGTTCCGGGGGTCGGCGGTTGGACCGCAACCTCCTCATGAGGTTTTCCAGAGCGGTGTCGTCGTGGCCAAGGTGGAACTGGACCTCCTTGTGGGAATGGACGATCTGAGGTTATTCGATGTCGACCGTGGCGGGGTCGTTTTGGCGACGAAGAGGACGACGAGATGAGCGCAGCATCATCGCAAGAGACCCAGACGCAAGGCACACACAATGATAGGAAGAGCTGACGTCGAAGAATAAAAGGACAGCATCGCTATGGAACGCTTGGAGTAGTTCATAGAAAAGTAGTCTGTTTCGACTGAGCTCGGGAGAGGAAAACGCCGACGTTGTAGTACGGGTATTGGAGTGTTTCAATGAGGTCATCTCGATACGAATGCAGCTTCCGTGCCCTGCGTGCCCATCCCATCCACAGCGTGATCGTGCGCCGAAGATGCAATGCGTAGGTGGAGGCCTTGGGTAGGTAGGTCGACAAGGTCATTGAGAAGCTCGAGAACAGAGGGGGAAACCCTCTGGCTCCCATCCCCTTGATGGCGAGCATGATGGACCGCTGGGAGCGGGAAAGGGAAACCCGAAAAATGGCAATATCTGTCAACCTTCTTGGTGCTGCAGGAACACACCGCAACTCGGAAAACTATGCTGCCGAACTAGTGGGACCCGGTCGAAACCGTACGACTTCTCCAAGCGTGTACAGCACACCACGCGGCGGAGAACCACACAGAACGCTCAGGAAAGCCACAACGGAACGTCTCAGGCTCTCGGCTAGCTTGATGCGGAACTATCTTCATCCCGTTTTGTAACACGAGATTCCCGTCTCCGTTCCATTCCCCCTGGATGCAACCCTTTGTTTGGTTTTGTTTTTCTTTTCCAGCTTTCCCGAAAGAACTCACGAATCGGCAGCATGCCATCCTCCCAACCACGCGTCCACGACACAGTCCGTGCGAATACCGCTACTCGTGTACCTCATCGGTTTGCCCTTCCACGGAGCGCGCATCGTCGTTCGTCTGCGTCCCCGCCTGGCGTATCAACGCCGACTGCCCCCTCAGCCGGCGATGGTACAGGTCTATCGGTAGAATGGGGGCCTGGTCGAACAGCCGGACCGACTCCACTTCCAGCCTGGAGACCCTGCGTATGGCCCTCACGCGCTCTGCTCGGGGGTCTCCTGGAACGAGGGAAGGGAGGCAATGTCGGGAAACCAGACGGGATCATCGTCGAGTTATGCACAAGCCCCCATAACAAGCATATTAGCTTCCCACAGCAAGGCCTGACAAGCTGAAAATGTGAGGACTGGAGGGACCTGTTGACATCCATCGTACGTTCGGACTGGTATTGGTTGTCTTTGGTTGCGGCCGACACGAGATCACGTTAGAGGATCGACGCTACGCGCAGGCGGGAGACCTTGCGTAGACCTGCCCATGCTTGGGTAATGGGTGTGGGGTGCAGAGAAAGGCAGTTTAATGGACGCGCGAAAAATGTCCTGACACCTGTTGCGATTCGGCCGATGCCCCTTTCACCCGGATTCAGTGGGGGTCGGAAAAAGCCGAGTGCTCCAGGTAGAAATTGAAAACATACCAAACAAGCGCTGTACCAAAGCGCTCTATTGTGGACACTTGAACAGCGAAATTGGGATGGTATGCACAACGATGTGCCGCGAGCGTGCCTAACAAAGGGAGGCCATCATCAAAACCACGTGAAACCTACAGACAGCCGCCTCGGTTTCTATCGTTCTGGACCTGACACGTACATCAATCCGCAACCTGTGCGTCTCAAAAAGTCGCCGCGAGGACAAATTCGTCCGTACATACACAAACAATCACACACCGCACACCGCAAAGGGTTGTACCGAGCGTGCGCCGGCAATGCTTCGGCTCGCCCGCATCATACCTTTAGCCAGCGCACGCGTCAGCGCCTTCGCGTCGGCCATCTTGAAGCCGCTGCCCTCTCGGCTTCGCTTGACGTCAGCAGACGCATCTACGGAGAACTTCCCCTTCGCTACGGCAGCACGAGCCTCGACCCCCGCCCCGGTTGCCGCGGCCGCCGCAGCGCTCCTAGAGCCCTTCGCACCTTTTGCTCCCCTGACCGCCTTCCCGTCTGAGGAAGACTTCGCATCTGCCTGTTTGTGTGCGTAGGTGCAGGAAAGAGGGTCGTTTGACGTCGCCCTCTATGGTGTAAAGAGTGGAGAGACTGTGGCTCGCCGCTCAACGGTCCCACAGGTGTGAACTTGATACTCGAAACTCGTGTCAAAAACAGTTGCGACACGGAGAACGAGGGGGTCGTCTTGGCGCCTCCCGGCTGGTACAATCAACATACCACCAGGATATTCCTCGACCCTAGATGTGGGTGAATGAGACTTGCACTAGAGGTGCCGGCAACGCACGGCACCCGCCTTGAAGGGAAAAAATTGTACAACCCATTCACAGGCCCTGTAGCCGTAAGCGCCAACAGTGACTTTTGGTTGTCGTGCGCGTAGTCCCGAAAACGGCTGCTCTGGAAGCTTGGGTGTCGGTCGGTACAGGTGGCGAGGGAGGCTACATCTTGATATCGCCAGTTTCCACCAACCAACGCTTCGGGCTGCGTGCATGCATTGCGATATCGCATATCTTGTGTGATTTATTGGTCGCGGTCTCAGATGTCGTTGTCCCCAGACGGCAGTTTGTGGTAAGGGGACGCGTGCTGCGACAAGTCGAGTGGGCCTTTGTCGAAGTGATCCTTGATATCGCCCTTTCTGCGAGACAATGTACAACCGCCCTTGGCAAAACGGTTGTCCATATTAGGACGGACTGACCGTCCTCCAACAGTCCGTCTTGAGAGTATTCGATGACGTCTTCTACCACGGACGTTTCCACCCTTGAGTCGGTCAGCCAACTGATACCCTCATGTCGAAGAGAGATGGCCTGCACAAGACATAATTTGCTTGTGCAATTTCTAGTCCACTTCTTGCGTGGCGGTGCAAGTATCGTTCTCGGGAGTCCGTACCATGCACTTCAACCTTCAGCAAGATCAACGTGGTGTCCTTACCGTGGCGGCTTCTGAGTGTTCCGCGCTTGGTCTGGCCACCTTTCGTTCTGTCGCGACGATGTTCTCCTCACGAAGAGAGTCCCTCAACTCTTCGAGAACCTGGGAACGGCATTCAACACAACCAAACGGTGACGACTTCACAGCAACACCGACGTTGTCGAGAGAGCAAGGCAGAGTTGTGGATTATCCGCAAAGAAAGGATATCACGCCAGCTCCGCCCTCCCTGACCACACCTTATCGTCCGGCGCCTGGATGTCGTCCCCGGGCCTCCTCATCTTTAGAGCCGGAGACACCACTGCCCTTCCCCCTTCGCCCCGGGCAGAACCAGGGCGAGTGACAGCCGCGGCGGTGACTTTGCCGACTGGCGGTGGAGGGTCCTCGTCTTCCCCGTCCCCGTCAAACTCATCTGAATACTCCTCGAAACATTCGTCGTCGTAGCCACCGCCGCAATCTTCGTCCTCGACTTCCATGTCAGGTGGGACCTGTCATCGCCGGGTGGGATGTTGGAGTTCCTTGAGCGCATCCCCACAAACTAATGTGCTCACGACCACCGTACTGGCAGCACTCAAGACAGAACGTCATGTCGCATGCAGGCAAAAAGCCGTAGGATTTACGTTGCTCGACGAGTTATGCTCCGCGATCCTCGTACACATTAATGCTTTATGTCCCCCTTCTTCCTATTGGACACACTCAATCTCTTACATGCATCCGCACCTGTGGTACAACCCGCCCATTGGGTAGTGCCGGATTCCGTCCAACATCATCGGCAACGGCAGCGGATGCATCACTTCTCCATCTTTCACGACACGAGGGCGTTCGAATCAGAGCACGGTCAGAAAGCACCCCCGTCAACGTTTTGCACGCTAAACGATCGTTTGTAAGTTGGTCTTGTCAGTGCACAGGCACGTGTGCGGTTCCAAATAGGATGATTCCAATGAGTCGTATTTCAAAAGACTTCTGTAGCAAGGATGTTCTGTAAATTGCAGAAGTTGACGACACCACATCAGTGCCCGGCTTGTTCCATACATATTCAAGAGCGCGGTCGAGTGTGCGGCTGGTCAAGGACATGGAAGGGCGGATTCTACTGTGCATGCATTGGCGGGTGATCCTGTGTTGTATTTGCAGAAAAAACACCTACCGCGTCGCGAAAGACACGTGCATTCAACCAAAGCCCTGAGCCACCCGATTTCTGCCACACTCTACTGGAGTTACCTGTGGGGTCGGCAGCATGTCAACATCAACCCAATGCCATTGCATACTACATGTAATGGTCCGTTTGGTGTGTAGACTAGAGGCTCACTTTTGCAAGATAGCCCGATCAACGCCAACTCCACCGGCACCGAGTGCTCTCTCGGCTACGGGCTGGCCCCGCCGGGCTCTTTGGTGCCTCTCCTCTCCCAGCGCTACATTGAACTGCCCGCCGTCATGATCCGTGCCACCAGCCCGTCTTCTTACCCCCTTCGCTCCTGGCCTGGTGCGAGATGGCCCAGCCTCAGTTGGCCGTGCGGAACCTTTGTCTTGAGCAAGAGTAAGATCGGGGCTGGCCGCCAGGCCCTCGCTTTCTCGACGAGGACCATCGCTGCCGTGCTCCCGAACACGTTCCCCTCCTGCCCCAGCGGGGGCTGCTGCACGAGAAGAAGACTTTCGGCTAGTGGACTTCTTCGAGCCGCCTCCTGCGGTTCCGCTGGGACGGCTTCCCCGACGGCGAGGCTTCTCATCTGCTGGTTCTCGGTCGCGGTCTCTAGAAGGATCCCGCTGGCGAACTGCATCGCCCGACATATCGAACGTGCAGAGCACCTACTCCTGCTGGAAGCCTCAATCCTTGAAAATGTCAACCGCAAGCCTTAGGGAGCGCACGTCCCAATAATAGATATCTTGGGTGATCGACAACAGATCCATGTACGAAGATGCACCAAACATGTGTGCGTACCACTGCGTATGATTTTGAGTCATACTGCTGTAACGGTCGACATCTTGCCAGGGGGCATGCAGATAAGAACAACACCCCCCACGGTTTGAAGTCTGTCTGCGCCTGTCCTGTCCGCTGTGTGGCTTGCTTGCGTTAGCTCTTGTCGTGTGTATCAACAGCTGAGGCTGAGAGAGATCTGACGTTGGGTGTGGTAGCCCAGGTGAGTGGCGTCCGTGGGGTAGTTGCAGTGCGCGTCGTGTATTTCTGAGCGGTGCCCTCCAATTGTGGAGAGAGCCAGAGCAACGTTCTCGTCTCATCGTTGCTCGATGTGCCCTACAAATCTCTGTAGGAGGGCCGCCCACACCCGCTGCCGCTGCTGCAGCTACTATTTTCTGCTATTGGTGTTAATTAGCCACACAATCCTGTGAAATAGTGCTCTCCTGTAGTAATGGGGACGCCTGGGAAGGATTGCTCGTGCCTACCATATATTTCAACCAATGGGATGTGCGGAGCGCTCCTGTGTGCAAACATCCCTGTGTATGTTGTACGTGTGTGTTGTGCACATGTTCGGTGCCCCAACGCCACACAACTCTGAACCTTACCGTTGCCACAGCAGTACTTGTAGCAGCAGCGGCAGTACCGTATCTTGGCACGTGGCCTTTGTTGGCATCCTCGGGCTGGGTCTTGCGGGTATATCGCTCGTTGTTGGCTAGCTTTCGTGGCGATGTACCGTCGTGCATGCATGTGCAACAGAGTGCGGCGCGCCAATAATCCCTCATCAAGGGAGCTGTAGCACAATAAGTCGACACTGCCATATGTTTATGCGTACCGTAGACTTCTGAATGCCGTCCAGGATCAGCGGTCCCAATGTGATGGCCGCGTATTCAAGGCCGGTGAAATCGAGTGACACAGGTCGCGTCCAAAACTTGCAATTTGTCTTGCGTCTCTGAATTCTGAAAGCTGGCCTGATATCCGGCAAGGCTGCCCAAAAAGTCTGATCAATCCTCAATCCCTTGCTGAGCATACGCTGTATGCTACGTGTGTAAATCAGCATGTACGCGGCCACATAGGGACCAAAGCGGTCCCGCCAGTTTTAAGGGAAGAACATCTCTGCAGTAGCAGCGGGAGCAGCAGCAAAGACAATTTTCGGTTGTCTTGACGCACAGCAGTACGGCAGTAGTAAATAGTACTTTCAAGACAGAGCAGGAGCGGGGCAGAAGGAGGAGAGATTCGAGGGAGGGAGAGAGATCGAGAGTGAGCTTGTTCCGCTGGGTTAATGTACAATTACATGTAACGTGCGTCAGGCATGGGTTGCCGCTGTGGAACAATCGGCGATCAATTATTTTCTGTTGCTCATCTCTGTTAAGAGTACCTATTGCCGGGAAGGCCTTTCGTCATACCATATCTGGTCTCATCTCACCGGCTGTAATGCCGCGTAACATCATCATTCATTCGTCAAATCTTTTGAGCATTGTAACCATTAAATGGAACGATTCCCCACTCTATCCGTTGACTAAACAATGAGTTCGGCTGCCCAACTGCGTGTCGTCTCGGTTCCGAACCTGTTGCGTACTTGTAGAGCTTGTTGGCGCCTGCCTGCACGGCTGGCTGTAGAAGGATGCCGAAATGTTGCTGTCTGCGTCGCCCCGATCCGTACCGACCACTTCCGACTTGAATCGACGAAGCCCACTCTTCTTTCCCTGGTGTCCATACACCGCCAAAACTGAACTTGTCGCCGCTTTGGTTCCCCCTCTCGGCGTGTGGAGGCAGCGCGGCAGCAGCAGCAACACCGGCGCTGGAACGTTTGTGTTAGCACAGCAGCAGTAGTAGTGAGGTGGCCATGGCTGTACAGCAGCAGCAGCGGGGGCGGCATCGTCCGGGGTGCGGTCAATCGCCCCGGCAATCCAACCGGTCAGGGGCGGCCGCGGCGGCGGTAGTAGTGGTGGCGCTCGCTCTGTGCGGAGGGTTGGTGGAAGTCTCAGAGGCGTTTCTGTCGCCCGTGACGGGGCGGTTGCCGTTCGCGGCGCAGACAACCTCGAGGGCGACCGTAGCACCGGTGGCGGCAAGGGGGTCGTCGTCTGTTGCCGCGGGCCGAAGGGCGGGAGGGATTTGCATGTCGGCGGTGAGAGGGTTTTGGGGAATAGTGAGGCCGGGAAGGGGGGGGCATGTAGTCGACTGCTATAGAGCTGTCCATGTCTGCGTCGGCCCCCTCTTGGTTATGACGAGGAGCTTTGATGATCAGTCCTAAATGTGTGCGGCTGGCTACCCGCAGCAGTTTTGTTCGTGTTTTTTTTTGTGGTTTGCTCTGGGTGTGCTTTCGAGAATCACACCGTGTGCGTGCCGTCGTCTCTTCTCTGCTTGCCTCGAAAAGTACCGTTGCAACAGCAGTTGGTGAGATGTTGTGCGTTGCCCACGTTTGCATCACCCCCACCCAAACGCCTGCCCGTGCCTACTGCTGGAATGCCTTCCTTCTGGCGTTGTCCAGGGCAAGACCATTGAGATGTACATGCCGGCGCTGTCGTCGACGATGGAGGAAGGGACGATCGTGCAGTGGCTCAAGGAAGTCGGCGACAAGATCGAGGTGACTGACTGACGGACTCACCGCGCGGTTTCGGCGGCCACGCCGCAAGGACTGGATTTGGTGTTGTGCTCTTTCGCGAGGAGCTACTGTACTGCTGGTGCATCGGAACGAAGACTAAGACATTCGGTTATGCCATTGCTGGTTGCGTTTGTCTACTGTAGGCTTTCCTCGGAGTCAACATCCTCAGCGTTGCTCCCCCTCCCCACAGTCATTGCTGGTTTGGTGGGAGAAAGAACCACTAGCTCGGCGTCGTACGCGGGTAGCTCGTACATGTGCATAGAAAAAACGCACGCCGGCGGGGTGCGTAGTCCTTCTCTCCCAATAATGCACCACGCCGGCGCGTCTTCCACGGTGATAACCACGGGGAGGCATGAAGGCGTCTTTGTATATCTCCGCAGCCGCCGCTAGCACCACCGTGCCCCGGAAGTTCCGGTGCAGGTACCAAGAGCCAACGCAACCAACAACGAACGTTTCGTTTGGCCTTCCCTTCCACAATAACACTTCAAGATTGCAGATCCTATGGCAGATCGTCGGCGACCGTCGGAGTGCGGTTAGCGCCGCCCCATGCCGACAAACACAGCGTGACACGCACAATAGTGCTACGACCCCCGCCCGCGGCAAAGTGTCCCGAAGAATCGTCGCCCGCGTCATGTAGTTGGTTACGACGTGGAGCGTGTTGCCTGCCTCTGCCTCCCTTTCGAAAATCACGCCACCGCGCTTAGGTGGGAGACCCCGTGATGGTGGTGGAGTCGGATAAGGCTGACATGGACGTGGAGTCCTTCGAGGAGGGGTACCTGGCGGCCGTGCTGACGGAGGAAGGAGACAGCGCCAAGGTCGGGGCAGCCGTCGCCCTCATCGTTGAGAGGTATGTGCGTCTATCGAGGGAAGGAGCGATGAGTCGGGGCCATGGCGGCGATAGTTCAGTCGAGCTGGTGGTGTGGGTGAAGCCATTTTCGAACGCTGGTGGTCTGTCGATGAGAGAGTTGTAGCGGAGAGTTGTGACTCTACCCGGTGCTGTGTTGAGCGCAAGCAGGAACATGACACCGACGGCGTCGATCATGCCCAGATAGATAAGACCAGCAGTAGATACGACCCGCATCCACTCTTCACTGTTGCAAGACAGTTCGTCGACGACTTTCCGATTTGCTCGTTGGACATACACATCACGTACTCAAGAATTGCGTTTTTGCCATCTAGCTGGGATCCTAGCACCCAAACCTGTCAGAATTGTGACCATTTTGTTCCGCATCCTCCCGGGCTTCGGACCACGGGTGGTTGGAAATACCCCGCTGCTAGCCGCTAGCCGGAAGGGGTTTCGCTTCACTCGAGTCACGCATGCGTGCGCTCGAAACGAAGTTAGGTTGTTTCGCTCACCCCCGGTCGGCATATTGCCCTTGTCGTACCCAGAGCGCTCGTCCACTCCTCGTGCCGCCATTTGCCCTTGTCGCGTGCATTTCGCTAAGCGTTGTTCACCCTTTTCCACTCATCCGCTGTCGGGATTTTGCGCCTGGAGCGCGCCTGTTCACTCGTTTTCACGCACCCGCTGTTGGCGTTTGCTCTATTGTATTTGTTGTTACCCGTGCTGCAGCGAGGAGGACATCGCCGCTGCCCAGGCGGCGGGACCTTCGGCTGCCGGTGGAGCAGCGCCAGCGGAGTCTGCAGACACGGCCGCCGCCCCCGGTGCGTGCGAACGTTGTCTGGTGACGCTTTCGTCTTTAGGGTTGGCGTGGCATTGGCTGGCGCTTGGTGGCATTGTTCGCCTCGTGTGCATGGTGTTTCGATGTAGGGGGGTTGTTCTCTCAGGCTGGTACATTGTGTGTGCCCGCCTCTGTGTGTGTTTATTTAGCGTTGGCGTAGATTGTGGTTCAGCGCAGTAACCGGTTAACCACCGAAAGCATGTCAGTCTTTAGCGGGTAAACTTGAATCATGGTTCCGCGGAAGGAGACCAAAATGTAAAGAATGGAAGCCTTGTGTGTGTGTTTACTTTTGCATCAGCGGCGGCGGCGGCGACTCTAACCGATGGGTTCAAGAATGACTGACACGCTTTGCCAAAGGCGCTTTATTACGCCTGCACTGCGCTGCACTAGCTGCGTGTGTGTCTGTGATTGGCACCTACCGTGCTTACCGGCCGATCAAAGCATCTGCGTGTTGCCCATGTGCGGTGCCTTACCCCTAGCTAACCCCAGACCCTTACGTTCTTCAGCAGCCGGCGGAGGCGGTGCCGCAAAGCCTGACGTGCCCTACAAGGAGATCGGGATGCCAGCGCTGTCTTCCACGATGACGGAGGGCAAGGTGGTGGCCTGGCTCAAGCAAGAGGGGGACAAGGTTGAGATGGGAGAGGCGGTGCTGGTGGTGGAGTCCGACAAGGCGGACATGGACGTGGAGTCTTACGACGAGGGGTACCTCGCGGCCATCATCACCGGTGAGTGGGATCTGCGGTGCCCCCATCAGAACGCCGGGCAGCTGCAGCAGCAGCAGCAGCTATGGCTTGGGTGTGAGTTATATACCCCGGCCGGCGGCGGGAAAATAGGCAAGGCATAAGTACGATACATAACCAAGCCGACGTTAGGACTCTGTCATCGGACCAGGCAGGCCTCCCGCCAGATGCTCCGTGCCACTTTGACGCGTTGGATGACTCGCTGTTGAAGGACTCTATCCCGCCCCCCGCCCCGCTCCCGGCCCATTGCTATCCTCGCACGTGCTGTAATTATTCAACCCCTGTCTCTCTTCTTGGTGTCATGCGTGCCTTTCCTTTGTCGTGTGTGTGGCTCGGCAGACGAGGATGACTCACAGGCTGTCGGCGGCCCCATCGGTCTCCTGGTCGACACTGAGGACGACATCCCCGCCGTGCAGGAGTACGCCAAGGCCCTCAAGAGCGGGGGGGGGG